GGGCTGGGCTGGGCCGGCCCGCTCCGGCGCCGGGGACCACGCGCGACTGGTTAGATCTTGTCGTGATCTCTGGAAAACTGTGACTATCTCACATGCCCTGCCCTGCTCGGATCCCCTGCGCTAACGAGCCAGGCCCCCCTTGATTGCTGATTTTACGCTTTTTGGACCAATTGTGGGTCTCCGGGGGCGGGGTTTTGACAGCTCAGGCCAAGCTCCGGCCGGGAGGGGGGGCCGGGGAGAAGGTGTCGGAAGCCTCAGCAGTAAGAAAACATGTCAACGGAATAAAATATTAACCAATGACGGCCCGGCGGGCCCGAGACCCCTCCCCCTGGCCGGGCCCCCACCCCGCCGCCCGCGCCCGCGGCTCCCGAGCGCGGACTGGGAAGCGTGGAGGGCCGACCTGACCCGCCGAAAGGGCCGAGGCGGGGGGCGCCGGGGCCGAGGGCCTCAGGGAAGGACCCCTAGCCGCGTGCCGGCCCCAAGTGCAAAGCATTGACACGTCCCCGAGAGGAGAGGGGGCGCCCTCCTTCTCCCGCGCCCGGAAGCCCGGCCGCTCGGGCCGGCGCCCCAGCCTGGCCTCCGACTTGGCTCCCGGTCGCCGCCCGGGTCCCCGCGCTCCACAGGGAGGCTGCGGGCGCTGGAAAGCGAGGCCGGTGGGCGGGCGAGTCGGGAGGCTCGGGCGGCTGAGGTCCCGGAGCGGAACCCAGGTGGCGGGAGCTGGTGAGTGGAGCCGCTGCACAGCCCTCGTGGGGCCCGCGAGGGCGGGAGGGACGCGGCCTTGTGTCGGGCCAACGCAGGGCGCCCTGACCCGCGCCTCGCCTCACAGGAAGCCCCTGGAGGGACCCGGCGTCGCCGACTGCCCCGGGCTCCGTCCGAGGCCGGTCCGTGTCCGCCTCCGGCGCCCGCGACGCGGCGCTCGGGGCCGGGACGGTGCGCGCACCTTCGCCTGCGCCCAGGGCGGCCCCGCGCGGGCTGACCCCACACGCCGCGCCCTCCACCCGCGACCGAACGAATTTTCGCCGCATCCGGTGCGGGGGTCGCAAGTCTTCCTTTTACTAAACACTGGCATCCTGTCTCGGCTCCCAGCCACTTTTCTATAGTTTGTTTCCGTCTTTGGGAAGCGCAGGTCTCCCAAGTTCGGGAGTGCGGGAGTCGAGGCGTCTAAACACCTGTGGTTGAAATCCCCCCTCTGCAATCCGTGCTGTCCTGCGTCGTCTTCCGGGAGCCCCAGGACCCCTCCCCACGCCGCGGGGTGAGCGTGTGTGTGTGTGTGTGTGTGTGTGTTTCGCGCCCTGCGTGGTGTCCTCTGTGCATATCGAAGGCCACAACTCCAGGTGTGCGCTGAGAGAATAAAGCGACCATACACCTGCCCCAAATCGGACTCAGGCGGACTCTTGGGCTGACTCCTTGGGGTCGTGTTCCCAAGGACAATTCGAGCCTGCACTGGCCACGGGTGACACTCCCATCCGCGTAGCCAATCTGTGCGTGCAGCCCGCCTGGGCCGAGTGCCCGCGTAGTGGGCGCGCACTCCCACGTCCGGCGGCGGTCCGCGCAGCCTGGTGTGCGGGCCAGGTGCGGGGCGCTCACTCTGGTGTGTAAAGGCCGATCGCTCCCAGCGCTGCGGGGTTGGGATAGGCAGAACAGACTTGGCCTCTGCGACTTTTTTTTTTTTCTATTTTTCTTAGCCAAATCCAAGACCCTTGTAATTCCTCATCGTCCCGTACATGTGGGCGCCATCCGCAGAGGGTTTTCTTCACGACCTCGCTCCTCTTGGTTCCTTGACGGCTCGGAGTGAATCTCGCACTCCTCGCTGCACAGTCTACGCGACCGGGGAGCGAGCGTTGTAGCTCGGCAGTCTCTAACTTAGATGGATGTGGCCTCTCTGGGAGGGGGTTGTGTGGCCACACTTGCAGGGTCGGTCGGTGAGGTGAGCAGATAACACCCAGGGCAGCTATCTTGAGCCTGTGTTCAGGTACGGGCCTGGGAATCCCTGAATACATTTGCACAGTCGCGCGCGCGCGTCTGTGTGTGTGTGTGGGGTGCGCGTGGACGTGTACTTCCGTGCTGGTAAGAATGCGTGCACACCTAAGTGTGTGCATTTTGGACATTTTCCTGGGTAGGGTCTGTAGCTGGTCCTGGAGTCGGAAGACCCGGGAGTTAGAAACACGCAGGCCTGGGTTATTTGCCCAAGAAACCCAGCGGCGACGGTGCAGTGGCTGCACTGGGGGTCCGTCACACATCTACACAACCACGGCCCTGCCCAGCGGCGGGCACGGCCTGGGACCCCACCATCTGCCCCGCCGCACCATCCTGCAATCACCCCAGGTCCTGCAGTGGCAGCTCTCAAGGTTCTGTACTGACCACCACCCCCCACCTCCAGCTAGGAGATTCGAGGCAGTCCCGAGCGGCGCCGTGAGGCTCCCAGCTCCCGCCCCGCCCCGCCCCCGCCTGCGTCCACCCCCCTTCTCCTTCCCAGGAATTGGCGCCCCTGAGGGAGTCCCCGGGGCCGAGCGTGCGTGTCTCTTTAAGAGGCCCCGGGGGGCGCCTCGCGGGCCGCCCGGGGCTGGAGGGGGAGGACACGGGCGGGGGCGGCTGGCGCCAGGCGGCCGAGGTTCCACAACAAAGCTCCGGCCCCTGTCACTTCACATCGCCCGGGCCCCGCAGACGGGCGGGGGACTCGCGCAGCCGCCCCTCCCTCTCCGGGGCGGTCGGGCCGGGCGTCGGAGCGGCGCGGCCTGCGGCTCGGGCCCACTGCGCGCGGTCCTTGCGCGCCGCGTTTCCCGAAACGACCAAGTCAGGCGCAGGCGACCCGCGCGGGATGGGCTGCGGTCTTGCGCCTGCCCGTCTGTCCTCTGGCTCTGTAGTCTCTTGCAGGGGCCAGGACACTGCGGGGCCTCCCCTGGTGGGTCCTCAGAGCGGCCGCGGCCGCGCCGTCTTCCCACGTGTGGCTGGCGTGGGTGTCGTGAGCCCAGGTGGCGTGGACGGCGGGTGCGCTCGGCCAGGGCGGCCCTGGGGCCGAGGGACCGACGTGCCTGCGAGTGGCCCGGCGCCAGCCTGCGCCTCGCACTGAGCTTGGACGGGAGGGACTGTGCCGCGGCTGGGCTCGGTGACTTGTGTGGCCTGGGCGGGTGACCAGCTGGGGATGCCACTGGGCGCGTCTCGACGCTGGGGGACACTCCCGCGGCAGAGTTGCTTCCCACCCGGGCCTCTCCGCCGGACCCGCATCTCTCAGAGCCTTGGCGCCAGCCAGCCCGGTTCAGCCGCCCGGCTGGGCTCCCCTGCGGTCCAGGGTCTGGCCAGGGTGTGGGCCGCGGCCTCGGTGACCCCAGCCCGCAGTGGCCTGGCCTGTCCCGTCCACTTACACAAATTGTGGCTGACAGGCGCGCAGTCTCTCTGGAGCCGCCGCCCGCCGGTCGCCTCCCTCCCGCCCCAATTACCCCGCGCAGTGTCGGACCAATGGGCTGGGGCGGGCGGGGGATGCGGCAGAGCAGGCGGCCCGACCCCCTCCCGGCCGCGGTCTTGGACCCGGACAGGCGGCCGGACTGCTTCCTTCAGTTGGATCTGGTCCGTGTCTGCCAGGATGATGCTAAGGCGAGGACCAGCCTGGCTGCGTTGGGCCGGGACAGATCCGGCTGTCGGGGGCGTCGTACTCTGCACCGGAGAGGTCCTGTGGCAGCCGGTGAAACCTGGCATGTGTCCCTGCCCGACTTTGGGAGACTTCCCAGAGTTTGGGGTACCTATAACCCTGGGACCTGCGGATCACTCACTGCCCTGGGCCGTGGTAAAAATGAGGTGGAGTCTTGAGCCTGCCTATGCATGGCGCAGCAGTAGATAGGGGGTGCAGGTGTCTGGCATCCTGCTGAGTGACTAGAGAAGGGGTAAATCTCAGGAAAGACCCTCTAGCACGTGCCCACCTGCAACAGAGGGTCCGGGCTGGTCGCTGGCCAGCTGCTCCCCAGGAAGTTGATTTGCCTTGGGATTCTCTGGAGCCCCTTTGGAGGGAGTACAGTTTGGATGCCCGCTGAGCCGCCCCAGACCCTCCCGTGCTCTTGCCCAGTGAGCTACCTGGCCTGGGCCGTCATCCTCAGCACCTCCAAACCCCTTTTTGCTTCTCTGACCTGCTGGTTCCCCCTTTGCCTACTTAAACTGTTGCTCTGCTCCTGTTCCTCGCTCCTCTCTTTTACAAACTTTATGGATGGGGACCCTGAAGCCCACTGGTGCATTCTTTCACCCAGGGTCACTTGGCTGCTGGTGGCAGAGCTGAAATGGGGCCCTGGGACCTTAAGAGAGAGCACACCCAGCTCCACTCCTTAGAAGGCGAGCGTGCCACTGCTACAGAGCTGTGCTTCAGGACCAAGGCCACAGGGACAGGCGAGGGCCTCCACTCTCTGATGGGCCTCCCTCTGAATACGCGATGTGTAGGAAGTTCTCTTGCTTTGTCTCTAGGCTGCTTGCAGGTTATACAGCAACAAGGCAAAAGCTTTAGAGTTAGCCCTGGACCTGGGCTGGAGGCTTTAAAGGCACAAGGGTCAGTGGAATGAGTCCTGCGGGAGCCCAGGACAGGAAAGTCAGCTCGGACCTGGGCCCCTCTGAGGCAACTGGTTGGGCCTGTGAAGCAGCGAGGTGTAGACGGGCCAGCTGGCTGTGTCACTCCGTGACTTTGGGCAAGGCCCTGCTCTTCTCTGGGATTTGGACTTGTCCTCTGCATACCAGGGACCCAAGAGCATTCTTAGGTACTTTCTAGTTTTACAAAGTCTCTGATCTTCCAAAATGAAAAATTAGCCCTGAGTAACCAGCCCCAGTGTGGCTGTCAGCCTGGCCTCCATGCCTGCGGAAGAGCTGGCCCTGGGGTGGTGCTTGTGTGTCTCAAGCTGCCTTGGAACCACTGGGCCTTTTCTCAAGTCAGTCCCAGACAGTGGTGTCCCTTTTTGAGTTGCCAGCGCAGCTCCCATCAGCCTCTTTGCAGATCATGAAGACACTTTTCCTCCGTCAGATTGAGGAGTCCACAGTACTTTGCCCATGCAGCAGGTAGTACCTTGAGAATTGGGGAGGCCACATGGCTTCCTCAAGGTCACCAGGTCTGGCCACAATCAGATTCATGTTCTGATACCTTCTAGGTAATGCTATCATAAGGTCTGCTTGGATTGTTGGGGGGAGGTGGACGTTGTCCTGGATCTTATCTGTGGAGGACAGGAGGCTGGCTGCTCCAGGGCGGGTGGGCAGTGAGGTCCCTTGCCCTGGAGCCCAGCTCTCACTTCCAGCTGATCATTGGTTATGGCAGGGTCTGTAACCTTCCCAATTAGCCTGGGGCCAGGCCGAGGGCCTTTCTGATAACCTGAGCTCTAGCGGCAGCCGCCCTGGGGCCAGCTTATCTGGGTTCTCTGATCCTCACCCTTCCCCCACATACTCAACGAAGTGCCCTGACTGCGAGCAGATGAATAACCAGATTGTCCTGCAAGCTCAGCCAGCACGTCCAGCCCTACACCCACCACTTTCCCTGACTGGAGGAGGCCACAGCTGTTTTACCCCACTGGAGAGAAAAGGCCGGGGCAGGCAGGACGCCGAACTCAAGCTGCCCGTCAGTTCCCTGCGTGGGCGAGAGAGTCCTGGGTGGGCACGCTGGGGCTCATGCCTCTGGGAGCTTCCGGACCCACCCCCAGGAGCCGGGCCATGTAGAGTACGTACAGGCAGCCTGGTGCCACCCTCCCCCTTGTCCCCTTTTGACTGAAATGCTGCTCTAGCTGCCGGTGGGGGCAGTGCCAGGGACGTCCGTGTTTCCCATGCAGCCCAAATGGGAACAAGCTGCTGCTCCTGCGGCCACTGTCACTGGCTGGTCCACCTTGTGCTTCCAGCACCCCTCACAGAGGCAGGGGCTCTCTCAGCCTGCAAAGCCAGTGTAACTCGGGCCCCTTTTCCCCACATGCCCAACCGACCTGGCGGACAGACTGGAGATTAAATCTCTTCTCGGGCACCAAGAGCGTGATGCAGGGTGTGAAGGAGGCAGGGCCCAGCTGGACAGTGGGGCACAAGGCCTGCTTGTCTGCGGGCTCAAGCCCTCTTCTGCTGTGTCATTAAACCTTCCCCCAAACCACCGCTTGCTCAGTGGGTGTCCTTCAATCCTCCAAAGCCTCCTGGGGTGTCTGCAGTATGGGCCAGCGAAGGGGCGACTAGGACCAGCCCTGACCTGCTTTCTGTTGAACACACCCTTAAGCTGCCATTCACTTGGGTCCAGACTGGGAGGAGGGAGGGAGGAAATCAGGAACTTGTCATCCGGGGCACCGGCCAGGTTCCATGACATACCACCTGACTGCCCTCCCATCTTCTGAGCTGGAAAAAAGGCAATTCCAGGTGCCCTGAAGACAAGGCCAAGGGTTTGGTCAAGTCAGGGGCCAGGTATGACAGCCCCCAGCAGGCAGAGTGCAAGCCCAGCACCCCAGACTTCATCTGCTGTATCAGGCAAGAAGCTTGGCAAAGGGACTGCAATCAGGCCCCACCCAAACTGGAGGGCGAAGACCCTCCTCCCCGTCCCTACTCTCCACCAGGGCCCCCCTCAGGTGTCACACGTGTTGGGGTGTGCTGGGAGCGGGGGCCCACAGTCAGGCCCACAGGACTCTGCTTGGTACTTGGAGAGGACCTTGACCCCAGCAACTCAGGGATGGACACCAATCGCAGCGTGATTTATTGGACGAGACGTGCACTTTTCAACAGGGCCTCAGTAACCACAGTTTCCTTCACTGAACAGTACAGGACCAGGGTAAAAGGGCTTAAAGATAAGAAAGACTAATTCTTCCCATGAGCCACTGGGGAAAGCCAAGGAGGAAGGGGAGGATCCCCCTTTCTTCCTCCCTCCCTCCCTGTTACTCTGGCCCTCAGTTCACCCCATGCTGGAGGAGGGCGGCTGTGCAAGGGAAGCCAGGGGCTGTGTGTATCACAGCCTGGAGTGGGCTGGGGCTGAGACTGTCCATTCAGGGCCCAAATGCCTGGCTGGACCATCCACCCTGTCCCCACCCAGGCTCCAAGATCTGGCCACTCTTCCAGGCCCCTTTGGGTACGGTTAGAAAATACAAAAGCAGGTCCAATGCTGGACATCATGTGCAAACGGAGAAGGGGACCGAGCTGCTGCAGTCTCTCCTGGCCACGGCCCCCCAGGACAGTAGCAGAAGTCAGGGTGCATTGAGGGCAGCTGCTTTGGAGAAGGGCCTCTTCTCGATCCAGGTAGGGTGGGTGGCTGCTGTCACTAAGCTCAGGGCAGGTGGTTGACGAAAGAGGAGCGGAGACTGAGGGCAGGGCCGGAGGGGTGCTTCTCCCCCTCCGTCCAGCGGGTGTGGACCAGCCGGTCAGAAGCAGGTAGCTGGCCCCTACGGGAAGCTGGTGGGAAAGAGGCTGAGGGGCTGGCTCTCGTTGGTGGGGAGCGGAGATCGGTAGCCGTCAAAGTTTCTTGGTATGCTGCCGCTGGTGGAGCCTGAGCTATTACTCAGAGTCTCGATGCTTCCCTCTCGCTGAAGTTCTGCAAGACAGAAGACAGGCCCAGGCCTGGTCAGAGTGGAGCTGGAGGGTGCAGGCACAGCCTGGGCCAGGCTGCTCGCTTTGAGACACCATTCTGGGTCCATTTACATCCTTCCGTGGTGGGGGTGGCTCCCACCTGCTCCCCAGATTGGCCAGGTGGAAGCTCGGGTCACAGGGAAACTCAGTTGGGGGAGGAAGAGGCCCCCTGGGCTGGCAGACTTGAGTGTTAGACCTTGGTCTTTCCCTCACTGTGCGGAAATCCTCTAAGCTGGAAGTATGGCCTCCTTGATGATCTGTCTGGAGACACAGATATTCATGGGGCACAGTGCCTACATACCTAGCATGTTCAGCCAGAATGTTCCCCTAACTCCAGTGTTCGCTGTCTTGGTTCTACGTAAGAGGCAGGTGGGGAGAAGCCAGGACAGGAGAAGGACCACAGCATCCCTGCCCCGCCAGTCTCTAGCCTCCTCTCCTGCCCTGCCTGGCCCTGGGGTAGCCACTCACTCACTCACGCGCTCATTCTCACCCATACGATCAGCACGCTGGCTGAGACTTGGCTCATCCCTGGAATACTGGGAAGTATCTTCTGTTTTGTGTGGAGCCTCCTCCTTGGAGAGGGTCCCTACTCCTGATGCTTCCTTTCTCCCTTCCTCTTTGCTCCCAAGTCTCCTGGAGCCCCTCAGAATGGACAAGCTCAGACTCAACTGTAAGGCAGGCACAAAATGCCGCTTTCCTCTCCTTCCCTGGGCTGTGCACACCCATAGCGCCATTCTGGCTATGGCAGCTGGACCCATCTTATTCAGCTATGGGCACCTTCACTGCCCAGCATCTCTTTAAGGCGGGAATGGGGCAGGCGTTTGGAACAGGATTCTCTGTTTGCTGAATGGATGGAGGAAGGAAGCCCTTCTTAGCTTTGTGAATGTGACCAGGCCCTATTCCCTGTCAGCCCCTCACTGTGCTTCTGAGATGTGGATGCGCATGTGGCTGGCAGTCTCTGTCCCAAGCAAGATGAGACCTGCAGTGCAAGCTTCGCCAAGGTATCCCTGTGACTGTGGCAGGGCGGCGGTGGGGTGGGGGTTGGGAATGGGGGGGCGTTCCATCTTTTTCAAGAGTGTAGGACCTCAGAGCAGTCACTTGAAACAGCTGCATGTGCCGTCTGTAACACTCATCTGGTCTGGCTTGAGACGCTCATCTCTCACCCACACCAGCTCCAGGCCCTGCCACCATACATATGCAGCCCAGCTGGCTTTGGTTACAGAATGAATGGGTCATGGTCTTCCCTCCTGGGCCGGCCATCACCAGCCGGCCAGGAACAAACCACTGACCCCCACACCCTGCAGGCCACACCCAAAGCACTGAGGCTGTCTAGCAGCGGTGCTACACAATGCAGCAGGGGAAAGGAAGCACCCGGACCAGGTGGAAGGGGCCCTCGGGCTGCAACGGTCACAGCCAGAGATGGCCCGGCTGGACGAGCATGCAGGGACACCAGAGGCGCGAAGCAGACTGCGGGCGGTGGGAAGGGGAGCCTGGACACAGGCTGGCGGCCTGGCTGTGGTCCCTGATCTCCAGGAGACTCTGGCTGCCCTGTGGGCATCAACCCTGGAAAATCAAGAGGTATCTAGGGATGCTCAGAAAACAAGGCAGGGAGCTGCTGCAAAGGAGCTGTTCTTCCTGCTCATTCTTCAGTACCGCTCTCATTTGGGGGTACGGCCACTGAGCTGTGAGAGAAAGAAGATGAGAAAGCGAAGAGCAGGCCCTGGGTGTTCATGCTGGGAGCCTCAGACTCTAAGACAGCACCTCCATTCCCCACCTTCCCCACAAGCAAGCCAAGGAGTTTGGAGGAGATCAGAGGCCCTTGCTTCCTGCACAGCCAACCTGGCACTAGGGGGCGCTGACAGCAGGGCGAGGAGGGCACTAAAGGAGCACTGCGGGAGCAGGAAAAGCAGGGGCTTTCTCAGGATCTGGACACCAGGCCTGAGAGAGAAAGCCCCAGATGAAGGAGCAGGAAAGGCGACCAGTATGGGGAAGGGTGATTCCTTTCCAGAGCAGAGGGCCAACCCCAACATCTTGATGTAAACTGGGACACGTCCACCCTGCCGAAGAAGCTCAGGAAACCAGAGCTGGAACCAAGCATGGCACCCCACTGCCCCTTGGCACAGCCCCCAGCAACACCCCCAGCAGCCTCAGTGACCCCAGCAAGCGTGTCTGAGTGGAGCACCGCATTTCAGCGCAGGGACGCTTCACAGGGGGCTTCCAAGGTGAATGGGCTGTTCCCAGGGGCCAGCTCCACGGAGCCTGAGCTGCCTTGCCCCCCTTTTGCTCACTTAGGCCTGGGTAAGATGGGAGGCTGGCAGGCTTCTCCTTGCCCCCAGCTCACAGGATAAGCAAGGCCCTGCTGACTACGCCTGTACATCTCCCACTGCCAGCTGGGCCTCTGACCTCCAGTCCCCACTGTCCCTTCCACCCCTAGGCCCAGCAGGACAGAATCTTCTTTCTCCAGCACACACCTCACCTTGCCTTTCCTTTCCTTAAAGCCTGTCAACGACTCCGACTCCACAGGCCTGCAGACAAGGTCTAACAACCCAGCGCTGCCATTGGCCATCCACAGCCTGCCGCCCAGGCCCCGCTCAGCGCTCCCCACTGTTCTGTCCGAGGAACCTGTGCAGATGGCTTCAGGTTCTCTGGGCCCCAGCGGGCCTGCTCCTCATGCACAGGTGTCCACGCCTCCGCAGGCTCATCCTCTTCCCTTGCAGAGCATGCCTGGCCCCACCAAGCTCCACGCTGACTCCTAGCCAGGCCCTCAAAACTCCCAGGTGTCCGTCCTCCTCCACACCTGGAGAGGCCCTTTGGTGGGGGACAATCTGTGCCTTATCTCTGTATCCCCAGTGGCAATCAGAGGTCCTGGAAAATAGCTAGTGCTCGGCACTCACTTCTGGAATGATGAATGAGTGATGTGGTGAAGGGCACTGAGTGATAGAAAAAGAACCAGGAGCCTACTTTTCTCTGTGCCTTCTGTGAAGCCCCTCCTCTCTTCTTCCCCCTAAAGATGACAAGAGAGACTGTATGCAAGGGGATGTGGAGGAGGGGTGCACGCACGATCCCCGCTTCGAGTCATCCCAGCGCCCAGCCCGAGGAGCAAGCGGCAAATGGAAACGTGTGGCCTTACCTTCCTCCATCCCGAACGCATGCTTTGTTACTGTTGGGTTGCTCACGGACGCTGGGCTGTTGGCATTGTTTTTTTTTTCCTTTTTTTTTCCCTTTTGGAAAGAAAAGCATTGAGGAATCTTTTTGGAAAAGATATGGACAATGATTGAGAAGTACACATCTGTGCAAGCAGCTGGAGGGGTGTAAGAAGGCACTGGGGGTGTCACACCGGGAGGAGGGGGAGCTTGCAGTGGGACTCTGCAGTCAAGGAAGACAGTAACATGCACGTGTAGGCAGCTGGGGGACTGACAGGTCCTGGGGGTCCCGGAGACAGAACTGTTATCCCTTCAGTATGGGGCTGGGAGAGGAAAAGTCACACACTGAGCATAACAGCTCTGTAAGAGGACAGAGGGGGATCTCTGGCCCATGCAGTGCAGAAGGGGCCCCATGCAGGGGGGTGGCTGGCGGAGGAGACAGGCAACACGGCTTTCAGGACCCCTGGGACCTTCTGACTCAGTGGCCCAGCTCCGGCTGCTCCCTCCTCCCCACCACTCCCAAGCCCCCCAGCTCTGAGAGGCTCTCCTGTGGTAGAGCTAGGTTTGTGGCGAGGCCCACCAGGAGCCTGCTGGAGTCCAGGAGGGAGCCCTGGGCTCTGTCCCTGGAGAGGGTCTCCAGGAACCTCCCCTTAGAGGTCTAGAGATTCTGGCAGTGGAGAAAAGCTAGCTCTAAGAGAGCTGCTTCTCGGGGGCCACTGAGTGGGGCAGGAGATGAGGAGCTGGAAGCCCACGGCAGTGGCTGGACCCGGACGTGAGAAAATCTGACCTGACCCCACATTTCCCAGGGACTTGGTGCTCCTGGGAGGCAGACAGCAAAGCCCAGGATGAAGGAGCAGCGCTGGCCCTGGGTTCCACACCGCTTGAAGGGGAAGTGGCGCTGGCACGGGCCACAAGAGCCCAACAACCCAGGCACCACTAAGCCTGGCCCCCATGCCCACCACCGGCTGTGTCCACCTGCTCCCTGCTCCTCTTACTGGAAAATGCTGCCCTTCTGTGCCATAGGCTAGGGGGCTTAGGGAAGGGGCAGTGGCCAAAAGGTAGGAGCCTCTGCTCCTCTGAAACGGAAGGGGTGAAAGGGTCTGACTCTCATGTTGTTCCCACTTTGTATAGAGCCGGTCAAACTTCAAAGGTGTGGAGGTGCAGAGCCAGGTGGCTGGCCTTGTCAAGGAGAAGTCACTCTGGTTACTTCAGGGTGTATGGAGCGGACGGAGGGCCCTGTGTGAGGGGGTCAGGCATGAGAGCCCACAGCAGAAGCCCCTGCCCCTCATCCCGCGGCGGCCAAGGCGCAAGCAGCAGACACTGGCTCCTGGGACCGACCGACAGAGTATTCCTGGGCCTCTTTTCACACACCAGCCACCTCACTGAATAAACGTGTCTCCGGTTCCCCTGTTCCTTGGGGACGGGCCTGAGGAAGAACTGGGGCAAGCTGGGAACGCTCAGGTGGGTGGCTGACCCCAGCAGAGGACCGGAAGTGAAGCCGCACCTTGGGCCGGGTGTTCTCTGTGTCTGCCCAGTGCGGGACGCGGAGGGGGCCCTTTCGGCTTCTGTTGGAGAGCCCAATCTGCGGAGCGCCCGTCGAGGGACTAGATGAAGGCCTGTGTCCGGGCCCAGCGGGTTAGTGAGGGGAAAAGGGTGCCTGGAGCACCGGCTCAGCCTCAGGGCAGCCTGGCACTTCCGCCACCACCTGAGGAGCGGCATCCACTGCCTGGCCCTCCGGTTTCCTCCACGGCTCCAGCCAGCCTTGCTCTGCACAGGAGCGGCAAGATGCTGCTCATTAAAGGGATTAGCCCTGGTTTTTATTGGGCCCTGGCTACAGCCACACACTCTAGTCCTAAACAAACCACCCACGCAGCCCTGTGGGAGTGGGATTAGACCTGCTGGGGGAGGGAGTCCTCCTCTGCCCCACGGCTCCGCCCACTTCCGGGTGGCGGGGGGGACTGCACCAGCCTTAGCCTGAGAAGGCAGGTGGGCACTGGGTGTGCCCAAGCTGGAGGAGGCAGCCTCAGGGAGCAGCTCAGAGCACAAGCTCTGGCCACCTGCTTTCTGGGAGACTTTGGGTGAATTACTCAAATCTCTGTGCCTCAGGTTCCTGAATGTGACGATAACAATGTCTGTTTCATAGCCTGGTTGTAAGAATGAAATTAAATAATGCATGTAGAGCGCATCACAAAGTGCTTAAAGCTTCCAGTCAGCAAATGCGAGTTACTATTATTGTTGCAATTGAATTAGTCATTGTGATTATCCACAGGACTTCTGGGTCCCTCTCCAGCCTCCCTCCCCAGCAGGTGCCTCGTCATCCAGACCCCTGCCAGCTCCACCTCTGCTGGAGCCTGGGATTCTTTTTTTTTTTTAATCAAGAAATGGTTCAGGGAGGTAGATGGCAGATATGTGTTTACAGCTTTTCATTTCCCTCCTTGCCTCTTTGCTAACTCCCTCTTCCAAGATGGAAAATAAATTTCCAGCCCTGTTGACGTGCATTGATTTTTCCCTCCTGCATCCACCTCCCAGTTCTCCCACATTAGCAGGGGCTGTGGTTAGGACCCTTGCCTGGGGTGAGCTTGACGGCACCCAGGGAAGTGGACGGCCACACAGCACCGAGCAGCCAGCCACACTGCCCTGGCTTGCCCAGAGGAGGTTTGTGACAAACAGAACAGCTCCGGTTCCTTTCTGCTTGAGGGTCCCTGGGTGGGGAGACAGGTGTATGGGGGGGGGGTCCCTCTCATTAAGAGGTGAGAAGGCTCCGTATTTTCCCTTAGTGCGATATACGACAAAGAGACTGGAGGTGACAGGACGGTTACAGGGTCAGCAAACTGCTTCAAATGGAGTCTGTCCCAAGCAAGCAATTCCGTCTGCAAGAGGCCTACAAACCAGGCCAGGGAACAGCTATGCAAAGTGGCATTTAGAGAGAGGCTAGCGGGTGGGGAAGCTGGAAGGTGTCTCCTGGGGCGAAGGAGGGTTGGCAGCTTCCCGAGGCTGGAAGCTGGAGAGCTGGCCCAGATGCCAACGAGGAGGAGGTGGCCTTGGCAGACATGGCCAGGGGCTACTTGTCTTACAAGTAGGCTGGAAACTGCTAACTCCCTTCTAGTGTGGCTGGGGAGGCGGGACCCATTCGATGAGACCTAGATGGAGTTGGCTGAGATCGCAGTGAAAACCTGACAGCACTGTCAAGACCACACTTTGGGCAGGAGCCAACCTCAGCCCCCAGGGCACTTTTTAGGAGGTTAAAAGTGCAGCCCTTAAAGAAGGCAGCCTACAGGAATGCTTGCTGCTCTCCGCACTCAGCACACCCCTCTGGCCGCCGCCCAGCTCCCCCACACCTTCCCGGGCTGCCCCCCTCCAGCACCTCTCAGGCTCCACAGTTCACAGAGATGCCGACGACCAGGGCTCCTCTTTGCCCACCCCAGTGAGGTCCTGGGAGGCTGGGGGCTCAGGCCATCGGAGACAGGCGTCACCTTTTTTCTCTAGCACGGGCGGTTGTCCCTTTGTCAGGCATGCTTGAGCTAGGAGGAGCGGGGAGAAACTTCTGGAAGCTGAGAGCCGAGGATGAAAAGGTTCTTCCTATTCAGATCACAGGAATCCTGCTTTGGGCAGCTGGAACCAGGCCACAGATGAGAAGCAAGGCTATCTCTGGCCTGCTCTTATCTCTGGGGCTTAACACCTATGTCTGAGTCCAGACCCCTGGCTGGCTGACGCCACAGACTCTGGTGTCTTACCACATACACAGCCTGGCGCTCCTCAGCCCTCTTGCCTGGGGGCAGCAAGTAACTCCTTCCTGGCCAGTCCCTTTCAACCCACAGGGCTCCCACATACTCTTTTTCTCCTCCTTGCTGAGGTTTTGTTTCTGACCCCCTCAAGTACAGAAACCAGAAAATCATGACAGGAGGCGGCCAAGCCCCCAGGGCCCACCCCGCCAGCCCTGCCTCCACTCTCAGCGGCCAACACTGATGGTAAATCTTGGTGCTCTTGATTCAGGAAGCTGGAACTGCTTCCCTTGGCCACAGGGGCTGTGCACAGCTGCCTACGAGCCCCAGCAGGGCTTGTGGGGGAGACCTGAGGCCTAGGAGAACCCAGATGCTCCCAGGTGTCCGCAGCCCCTAGAAGGTAAAAGTGGTGACCAATCCCCGGAAAGGACAATGGGCAAGCAGAAAGCCTCATGATGCCTGCACTTCCAACCAGAGACACGGGGCAAGCGGTCCTCCCTTCCGTCTTCTCTACCCATCTCCTCTGGGAGCCAAAATGAAAGGTTCTCAGGCCTCTGGGAGCCCAGGTCCCGACAGCAGGCCAATGTGGCATTAATACCACGAGGTAGGCTGGGTCTCTGAATCCCCAGTGGGCCCAGTAGGGGCAGAGGCATGATGCCAAGGGAAGGCATGTTAGAATACAAGGGGAGGGAGAAGCCTGCGGAGTGAGGGGGACGTAGGAAGCGGCCTCTCTCAAGAGTCCTGCTCCCCATTCAGCAGGCTTTATGGCCTCCACCCCTACAACGGGTGTGTGTGTGTGTGTGTGTGTGTGTGTGTGTGTGTGTGTGTGTGTGTGTGTGTGAGATATACGGGGGGCGGGCAGGGCTTACAGCACGGCCTAGATTCTCTTTCATGATCTAAAAGAGCAGTGACAGCGA